AACTACTAACTCTTAACTACTAACTCTTAACTACTAACTCTTAACTACTAACTCTTAACTACTAACTCTTAACTACTAACTCTTAACTACTAACTACTACTCTGTTAACAGCTAAACCTGCGTCTACAGAACCTAAAGCTAGACCTACTTAATTTAGAGTTAACCTCTAGTAGTATATCTATGCTTATTTACAAGCACAGCTTAAGCAGCTAATCTACTAAAACACTGCTAAGCAACTACTAACCCCTAACTATTAAATCACCTCTAATAATGCCTTAAATCACCTCTACTACTCTAATAGTAAGAGACCTTTAAGGCACCCCTAACAACATCTAAATGCTACTATACTAAACGCACGCCTAAGATTAATAACTACACAGATAGCAATAAACAAAAGTCTTAATTATTAACAGGCTAGACATCTATACAGATTAATATTAGAGCAGGCGCGCACGCATAGCGTTTAGTTTAGAGGACACTGCTAGCAGTGCAAAGAAATACTTAGCAAGGACACCTAGCTAAATTAGACTAGTTTTAGTTTAAGAAGGCAGAGGACATAACAGCAATACTTTGTACTATAATTACTACTAATAGGGACTATTAGTCTACAGAGGGGGGGGTAGTGTAACAATTCTTGTTCCATCTTAGGTTGCCTAGAACCTATCTAAAGGGTCCCTGTATTAGCTCTAACCCTGGCTTAACCCTAACTTGACCTGGCCCTAACTCTGCCCTGCCCCCTACTGTTACCCCTATTTCCCCTATGTATTTAGTTGCACCTTGCCCCTGTAGCTAGCTTAGTAGTTTTCTAATATCCTTTTGTACAAGGCCTATAGGTGTTAATGGCATTCCCAGGTTCCGAGTCCCCACGCACTCCCATATGCCTCTGAGTGGATTCCCACCGCATTCGGACCCATTGTCTTGCCTGTGCCGTTACATGGTAATGCTATATATTAGAATAAGCTAGTTATACTTTATAAATAGGTTTATAAATAATATAACGTACTTTACAGGCAAGTTGCTCACACACCTAAGTTGCTTACTTTTGCTAAGACCCTACTAAACTACCCTTTTTACACTAATGCGTTCCTAATAACACTACTTAGACGCGCTAAAAGAACATTAGATACAGCTTGCGCTCTAAGCTTTTAAATAAGACATAAAACTCTTAAAGAAACATATTGCAGCTATGTACAAAGTCTCTTAAAAAACAATAAATAACTATAGCGCTAGATAAATTTTATAAGCTAATTCTACAGCTAACTTATAAAGGCTAGGCAATAAAAAGAAGCAGGTAATTATTAAGACTATACTTAAGCTATATATGCAAGGATTTTCCTCTTAGATAGCATTTATAGCTAATATAGCTAATTCTTTACGCGCTAAGCGTAATCTAGGCTATGTTAGCATAAACTAGCCTAGTATGTTTATAAAGCGTTATTTAGAGCTTAAAGTAACGTTTTCGGGTAGTGTATCTTTAATAGATCTTTCTCTTATAGTCCTGGGTTTCTTTCTGGCGTTTTTCGTGTTGTTGTTTTTATTGCTGTTCTTTGTTTTATTTTTCTTTATAAGGTTTATCCTTTTCTCAATTTCGGTTTTATTCTTGTCTAGGTCTTTCTTATCTTTGTTTTTGGTTTAAATTTTACTTTAAGGTCTAGATAATGCTTTCTAAATGTACTAGGCTAGTTTATGCTAACATAGCCTAGATTACGCTTAGCGCGTAAAGAATTAGCTATATTAGCTATAAATGCTATCTAAGAGGAAAATCCTTGCGCATATAGCTTAAGTATAGTTTTAATAATTATCTACTTCTTCTTATTACTTAGCCTTTATAAGTTAGCTGTAGAATTAGCTTGTAAAGGTTATCTAGTGCTATAGTTATTTATTATCTTTTAAAGGACTTTATATATAGCTGCAGCATGTTTCTTTAACAGTTTTATGTCTTATTTAAAAGCTTAGAGTGTAAGCTATATCTAACATTCTTTTAGCGTGTCTAAGTAGTGTTGTTAGGAATGCATTAGTGTAGGAAGAGTAGTTTAGTAGGGTCTTAGCAAAAGTAAGCAACTCAGGTGTGTGAGCAACTCGCCCGTGAAGTACGTTAAGGTGTTTAAGCTATTATTATCTAGCCTTATACACTTATCCTGTAAATGTTTAGTAGTGTATAAGCTATTTTACGCAGGATTCTATAACAGGATAGTGTAGGATCTTTATATAGAGAGGTGCGTAAGAAGGTGTATATAATAAGGTTTTCTCTCTCTCTTTTTACCTTCTCTTTTTTAGCCCTAACCAGAGGCCCTTTGTACGACAGGTAGAGGGGATTGAGCAAACGGCCAGGGTTACATGGTCGCGTCACGTGTGATTGCCCGTTGATTTGGGTGGATATACGTGCCTTTTGGAATAAATGGCCGTCGTAGATACTGTCTTCTGTGGATTCGTGCGGGATGTCTAGTCAACGTAAATGCATGTATCGGTGATTATGATCGGGATATTAATCTTACTGCTAAGTGTGATGGGTCTCCACCTAAGAAGTTCCATGATGATAGCCCTCAATATTGGCACCTGGAATGAGTCAGAAAGCTCTGGCGTTCTATCATCACAAGCCATATCAACCTCCGCTTGCAACCGTGTCTGCCACTGTGGAGATAGAGTGAGAAGATAGGTCAGCACAGCGGAGGACATGGTGGGCACACCTGCGAGTCCTATCATACCCACTATGTATGCACATTCCATGTCAGACAGTTCTGTACTAACTTTGCTCTCTAACAAATGTTGCATGTATGACGGTTGTGTTATTCCTGCCTCCATCCTTGCAGTAACTTTGGTGGGCATGCGCATGAAAAAAAAAAAAAGCGCTCTTTCGCATCCCCGCGGGCTACAATCCACTTCCAGGGGGGTAGGAAAGCAGGTAGCGGCTTTAGGGGTGGGATAATTTTGGCAATATAAGCTGCAGGCGAAATAGTGTTAAGAAGTCCACGAGAGTACTGCCTGATATCCGCATAGTGACCCGAAACGCCGAAGTCTAGTCATGAAATATCGCGGCCTGTGCAGTTTCCCATAATACTCTTGTAGTTGGTGCGGCGGTCAAGCAACTCTGAAAGGAATTTAGAGCGTTCTAGATAAGGTAGGTTTTGATGATTCTGTTGCAAGTGGCAAAACGTTAACATTCTACTAAGCACAGGAGAAGAATATATATAGGCAGATAAAATACACGCTCAACAGATTCCTCTAGCTGACTGGGACAGGAGTTGAGCCACGATTCTTAGCTGACGACGCTATAGATCTATGGGACGTTTTATCAGAGCGTGTCTTTAGTGGAAATTGCTGAGTTGAAAATTGAGCTAAGGGCCACTAACCATTTTGTCTAAGGAGATGGAGATATTCCAGCGTCTCGTTACTGTCCTCTAACTGATATGTGCTTGGGCGATCTGGATCCCTGGCTGCCGCCTTGAGAGTACATTGTTTGCGATTTTGTCTGATGCGAACTGAATGTGATTAATACCAAAGATGTTTGTACTATATATTGGACCGTATTAGCCGGACCATCTCTTGAGACGTGTGTAGCTGTGCTGTCGTGGGCTGTCCTAGACTCAGCCAATTGGTGGAAGACCTAGTTTTGTTGAATGGGCTCTTCTAGCTAGATGCTTATGGTATGAGCACTTAAGTAGTAAGAGTAAGAGTAGTGTACGGTGTGCACAGCGTACAAAGTAGGTAGGGTGGGGGCAACATGGTTCTGGTTCTATTGCTCTGTCTTTTCCTCTGTACAGAGGAAAAGGGGAATATCTAGATGTTCGCGCACAGAGGTTCGCGCACAAGCATTATGTGACATAGTTACATAGTTCTTCTTATGCGCAATAACTATCTAGACTGTAACACTATTGCTACATATAGACACTAGCAACTTTCTATTTTTATCTAAAAGGTTGCCTTCTGTACTAGTTACCTCCCTCCTGTTTGTGCAGAATTCTGTAACAAAATAGTGTAAGATCTTTACGTAGAGGTGTTTGCAATAGAAAAAAAAAATAGGCCTTATATAAAGGTGTTGTTAGTCTAGTTAGTCTAAGGCATCTGTGCGCATAAGATCTAGCTAGTCTATAGATGCTTCTATTTAGACAGAGAGGTAGTTAGTTAAGACTAATAGTTAAAAAGCCTAATTTAGTGTTTTCTTTATACATGCATTTATAAAGTTATTTTTACTATTAATCTATCTAATCTCTATAATCTTTTTTTTAATATAATTTGTAAAGTAACATAATGTTAATTATAAGTTATTTTTTACTAGTAGTGCCTAGCTTAATAAGGTAATTATAGAAGAAGGATGGACCGATGCCGGTGGGGGCACGGCCGGTGGTCACGTGATGATCCAAACATGTATAGTGTGACCGCTAGGCTTGGCGAGTATATAGTCTCGCCCTTCCTCCATTGTTTAGAAGGTTGTGGTTATTCTTATCTTTAAGGCACAGCGTTAGGTATAGCAATATTTCTAATATCTTTCTTAACACAAAGCGTGCAGAAGATCCCTTCCTATTTGTGAGAGAACTAAAGCTACCTAGTTATCTTACTATACCTCTACCTTCTTCCACTCTTTACCACTTCCCCCTCACCAGACTTCTCACTAGATTGTACGGAGGACTGTACACCCTCTGTGCCCCGTTATACGTCAGAGAAGTATCACGTGACTCTCTCCCTTCCCTTCCACTCTCTCTACCCTCTCCCTTTCCCAAGACCCTCCGTCACCGTCAGAAGACACCTAGCAATAGGAAAGTCGAGGTGAGATATCATAACATTCGGAGTAGCACTATGCATAGTGGTTTGTGCGTCTGCGGTTCTCTCACCACCCCGGCTGAGCTAGCGGAGATAAAGTCGCCGAAGAAAATAAGACAATCCACTCCACACAAAGTATTGAGCCTACAGCGACGTAGCGTGGCTGCGTAAGACAGCGACACTTCCGTGCTACTGGAACGAAATGTCATATCGATCCGTGTCACGGCTTTCCGATTCGCTCGCTGGTTCAGTTCCAATTCCGCAATGTTTTTCATCGGCTTGCTGGTCCTAGAAGATCTCATCTGGCAAATATATATTTCAGCAGCCTAACCCCACAGCTTTGTCTACTCTTCGTGTTCTCTTCTCGACTGAGCTCCCTGACGCTTCCGAGACTTTTCCATCCCTGCGAGCATTGAAGGATGGATCACTTCAGCGTCAAAGCATCTATCATCGCTATCATCGGGGAATCGTGGCAACATACAAGACCATCAAGACCGTCTCCAGCCTTCCATAAGCATTTAGTGAAGTCAAGAAAAACCTTCCCCTCGTGCTAAGCCTCCTTCAGGGTGCCCGGGATAGACTTATAGACGGTCAAGAAATATCCAGCAAGGAGAAAAGAGGCTACCCTTGCAATAATTCAATCCAGCCATGACAAGGCCATGAAATTAAAGAGGATCTTCGATGAGTCAAAGCAGAGTGTAAGAGAGATCAGGATGCTAAGGACTGGGCGAAGATTCGCGTTTCATATCACAAGGCACTGCGCGGCATTAAGGGACATCAGGTGGAGAGTTTCATAAAGGAGATCTTAGAAGGCGTGAAGCTAGCACTTAGTCAGACCTATAAATCAGCGATGCATGTCAACATAAAAGCCAATGAGAAGGCCATTCTAGAATTTTAGTTCTTATGTTACAAGTAAAAAGTAACAGAGCTGTGGGAACCAAGCAGAGGTCGTAGGAGCATGCGGAGCAGGTGACGACTGGCATGATAGGAACACGACGATTGTCACATTCCTGATACGGAAACCTTCCTTCCCTATGCTACAATAGCTCCTACTGCCTTTACCATGGCACCTTATCGCCTCTACTATGGCACCTTCTGCCTTCACTTCAACAGATGCATATAAACACTCTGTAGCAGAGCACTTAGACTAAAATAATACACTTCACTTTATCAGCTTCTCACAAGCTGCATGATCACGCAACTCATTTGGCATCAACGATGCGCGGGGCAGCTTATGTTACGAGTCACGTGACATGGTTAGGACGCAGCTGAGGGGTGCGGACGCAGTTTGGGGACGCCAAGATTGTACCCACTTGCCTTGGCTGCGATTAAGCTAAGGGACAACAGGATATATAAAGAGTATAGGTTTCCTCGGTAGGTTGTCTCTTTGTAGCTATACAATTACAGTTTTCGCACTGTATCCTCTGTAAGAGCTCGTTGTCTAGACTCACTTGCACTCTCCTACTCTCGTGTTGTGAAGTACAGAAGCCTTGTATCATCGCTGGACTGCCTTACTCATGTACGGGACCAATCTAAACGCCGAATATCCCCCAGTGGGTATCCAGACCGAATCAGGATACGATAACATCTTGGTACTGCTCTAATAACATAGCAGTTGCTGCAGAGGAGGATGATACGGCAGATAAGTGTCAAGAAGAGTTAGAGAAAAGTACGCAAGGAATTAGGGCTAAAAAAGGTGTGAACTTCACCAAAACAGGTTTAGCGGGTAGAGAGGGTTAGTGTAAGTGAGAGAGGTTTAGTACGAGAAATATTAATTAGGCCTGTGCGTAAACTAAGCGACGCCGAGAAGTGGCCGATTTGACCTCTTGGTGCATGAACTCTGCAGTCTCTGAACTCCGTAGTCCCAAGGAAGGAACAAGTGATGTGACCTGAGCGCGAAAACGTGATGTGGACGTAACCGACTGCTGGGCACCGCCGCCTCTCCGAACCAAGATGAACGTGCGAAATAAGTTCCTCTTGGCCACGGATATGACGGTGACATTGTCGGAATCAACGCTACTCTTTAAATATGACCTGTCTTTCTCCATCTCTTCCTGCTGCACTTTCATCAATTAGCTTAGTGGCTCTAAGAACTTTACCGGCAGTTGTCATCTTCCCTCCTGCCTCGAGGAAAAGCAGTGCCAATCAATTCGCTACAGACCCCCGCGTCATTATTCTTCGAACTTTAGTTGTCCCTGCTCTTTTTTCCTCGTTATGAGACTCCAAAATCCCCTCTCTCTTCTGCTCGCATCGGCAAATCTGTGCGTCGCCGCACCGACATTCTATTGGCCGCCGTGGATGACTGGAATCGTTTCAACCAGCTGGCTTGCCCAGCACTCCTGGGATCCATTCATTCTAGTCATCGACACTCGACCCGCTGCAGAATATGCGGCAGGCCATATTCCGAAGGCCGTTAACATTCCGTGGGCCGTTCCTTTGAGCGCCTGGATAAGCTATGGCCCCGACGACCTTTTACTCCAGTTGCCACAAGATGATTACTTGTTTGGCAACCTAAGCGCGGCAGGAGTATCCAAGCTGAGGCGCATCATTATCTCAAGCTCCAAGGCAACCCCGCCATACCCACAGGCTGAAGCTGCGCGTATCGCTATGACAATGCAGCTCGCTGGTTTCCCGCTCGTACACGTCTTGAACGGTGGTATCACCAAGTGGCAGGCAGAGGGCAGAGTTGTTACGACCGTAGTTCCGAGCATCACACCGAGCGGCATCACTGGATCGCTAGACCGCAGCGATATCGTCGACCGCGAGTATGTCAAGGCCGCCATCAACAACAAGATTATACTCGACGCGCGGGATCCCTCAGTGTACAACGGCAGCGTTGTGGAGCAATGGGCTTCTAAGCCCGGACACATCCCTTCCGCCAAAAGCTTGCCCACGGCTTCATTGTTGGACTTGCAAGGAAATTACAAGGACAAGGCTGCGTTGGCGGATGTTGTGGAAAGTGTTATTGGGACAGACGTAGACAAGGACACTGAAATCATCGTCTATTGTGGAGTTGGCGGCTATGCCGGCGCAGTGTACTGGGTGTTGAATACCGTGTTGGGTTTCTGCAACGTCAAGTTTTATGATGGGTCATCGCAGGACTGGGTCAAGGTCTATGATATGGAACTTTAGTGAAATGAGATTCTGTTTCCGTTCCCTTGCAAACCTCACATGTTCGTCTTTTGCCGACGGATGTGTGCCGAGCCTCGAAGGCGTCGGGACGTTCGGTATCCCGACTGGGCAACAGGGGAGTGTCGTATCAGCTCACCCGACCCTCGTTTCCACCACGCCACCGGCATGTAACTTTCTGCAATTTTCTGAAGGGCATGAATCAATGAGCGCAACAATGTTGACTCTCAGCCGATAGCAGCGCGGAGGTATCCTGCCGAGGCGGAAGCCTTTGGATTGATCGGCGATGCCTGTGCATTGACTTAACTTCTGACTGATGTCCTGCAGGATAACGCAGGGTCGCTGCAAGAGGCGGCACATACCTCCAGCATTTTATGTACCATGGTCAGGGATGGGTCGTATACGGTATGAAACGATCCATACAGTATACGGTATGGAACGTATATATACCGGTATAAGATGTATGTATGGATCGCTTACTAATACATGATAATTCTTTAGAAACTAAGCAAGCCTGGCATCTCCCCCAGCACCTCCTCGCCCTCTTCATCCTCAGGAACATCCTCAATCTCTACCTGCTCGTTGTTAAAGTACTTAGGCGCCTTAAGGGGGTTATTTAAGTTAATTTTAAGGTTGCTAAAAACGTACACAAGCTTCTCTACACGCTTATTAGTTAATTAATTGCGTACTTTGTTATAAATAAAGCTGTGTGTACTCTAATTACGCTCTGCTGCAGCTGTTGTTAGATTAATGCTAAGTGTGTATATCGCCAGCTCTTAGAGGTCTTTACTGCACCTAATATTGTACTACTAACTAGCTAGATTACTGTATTTATTAAAGGTATTCTAATTAACATTGTTAGCATAGATTCCTCTGCAAAAATACGCGTCTTTAAGCTCTATAGCAATACTAGACGCACGCTAGAGATCGCTGTATTGTTAGTAGAGGTATTGCCTGATTTCTGCCCACATCTCTGCTGTAAACTTAACTGGGCGCTTAGCGCGCACAGAGGGGTCGCAAATGTACGCGATAAGGAACTCTGTACGCTAAATTTGCCTAGAACACTTTGTAATAATGTCTAGTACTTCTTAGGTAGCCAGCGAGGTAGTCGTAACTAGTTCTGTAGGAAGATAGTGGATGTATGCGAAGGCTTAAGAGCCCTTTAGCTGTACGCTCTGCAGCGCCTAAGTAACCTCCTAAAAGGGCTTTAAAAGTCCTTATAGGTTGCAAACCTGCTTCTAAAAGCTATATTAAAGTATAATTAATTATATCCTAACATATCTCTCTTAATTATTATAGGCATTTTGCGTATAGGGGGGTAGAGAGGCTCTGCAGAGAATATGCTTAAGAATAGGTTAGTTGCTTAGTAAGCTTTTAACAGTGTTAAGCTTCCCCTACTACCTAGTCTTACTAAGTAGGGCTAGGGCTCTGCAGGCTATTTTTATTAATTTTAACACTAAATTTAGTAATTCTACTTAAAGAGTTAATCCTTTAAAGTATTTAACAATTTTAAGAACTATGTTCTACTGCGTTATAATGTAGTTAAGCTTAAATATATTCTTAATAGCTAAATTAAGGATGTAGGTAGCACATCTAAGCATAAGCACCTTAGGAAATTACTGTGCTAGTATTTTCTATGCAATAACTATATTGCTAGCTGTATCTATTATAATTATAATAATATTATTTAGATTTAGCTTTTTAACTACATTTCTAACTTCCTAAGCAATATACTTGCTAGTATAGTAATAAGCGCCTGTAGGGGTAGATTTCTAGAAGATAGCATTGCATCTTATTACTGTAATATAATTAATAACTACTTTACTGCGCAAGTTAGTCTACTTGTTAGAAAGTAGAGTAACTTGCCTGTAGCTATTCTCTAGCTTCTTTAGCACCCTCTTTTTTATATTTATATATATTATATTAAGTATCTTGTTTGCAAGTTGCTTATGTAATAGTAGTATAAACACTAGGCAAATAGCACTTAGAAATTATTAGAACACTAGCTGCTTAACTTATAAATTTACTAGTTAACACACGTGTTAACATGTATATAAAACGCTTACTTATAAGGCTAAGTAGGACTCTAGCGCTGTATATTGCTTTAGTAAGAAGTAGGGTGCACTTATTACAATTATAAGCGCTTATTTGCAGTTCTGCTAGTAGCAGCTTCTGCCCTAAACCTTTAATAACTAATTATTAATTATTTTAACATCTATATTAATTATAAAGCTTTAACAGGAGCTTGTTGCAGCATCTTATATAGCGCTTAATACGCTGTACAGCAGAGCTAGTCTACTGCTTATTGCAATAGCAACATTTAACTTTTAGATTATTACTGCTAATTTAGGCAACTCTAATAACGTCACTCTACTTAATTAACTCTTAGGGTGGCATCTTAACACTAGAAAATTGTATATAAAGGCGCTCTGTATAGTACTACTAAGCTTTAATTGCATAAAGGTTAAATGTTAAGCTTTAAAGGGCTAGAAAGTTAGTAGATTTGTTTACCCCTAAGATGCACCTTACACGCAATTTTATATAAGCAGCTTATTAGTTAAATAATGCGCTTACTAAGCGTTCTATACAGCTTTAGGTTTTATACAGTATGTATGTATGTGTATGTATATATATACGTTATATACAAGTGGGTCTGCCATCCCTGACCATGGTTCGCTTTTTGTGAATTAACCGTATGTCGTGGCGAATGAAATTGTCTCCCAGAAGTTCGTCATAAGCCTGTCTTGCATGCCCCTGACCCCGTGCCCTCACAGCATTGACAACTCCGGCGAGCCCCGCGAGTTGTCAAAATCTTGCATCACACTTGGCATGTACGTAAATCCACGCGCATGGTACAGGGTCTCCTGAGCGGGCTGTTCCGCGTGCACCAGCTAACATCTGTGCGTAGAATGTTCTAAATAATTTACAACCCTTTATAAGTAGGTTGCTAACAAACTTTACATCCCTTATTTAGCTTACTCTACTACTAAAATGTACTATAATGCTAAAGACACTAAATTAATAATTAATGTACAAGGAGCGTATACAGATTAATACCCTTTATAAGATAGGCTAGAAATAAAAGAATATTGCCTAGAAACTAGAGATACCTGCTTCTACAGTCTCTATCTGCCTCTGTACGCCTAAGACGCTTATAAAGCCTAAGGGATAGTCTTTTATTTTATTAACTCTATTTTAAATCCTCTTTATACAGCATGCAACTAAGAACGCTAAGCAGTAATAGAAAACTTAAAAAGAGATAGCTTAAAAGCTAAGGATAACTATCTACTAGTAATTACTTATTAAGGCTTTTAAGAAGGAGCTTTATTATTACTATAAAGCTACAGAGAAGCTCTTTCTTACTAACTAACATAAGACAGATTAAGTTACGTAGGCATAAAAGCACCTAGACTAGACTAATAATTAATAAGCTAGTATAGGCTAGAGCAATAATATAAGCGATTAGGCTAGCTTTAGTAAGGTGTAGGTAACAAGGAGAGCTAAGGAGCGCTTCCTGCCTGCCTGCTATGTTGCTTAATTTAAGGGCTACTTAAGCTGCATAGTGTAGGCAATAATATCTAGGGATATAAAGGGCCTCCTTATTTGTAACGATCCTCATGAATTGTTCCATCTTAAGTCGCCTGGAACCTCTGGAAGGCCCTCGTATCGGCCCCGACCTCGACCTGGCCCTGACTCTGCTCGGCCCTCTGCTGTTACCCATATTCCCTTATGTATTTAGTCGCACCTCGCCCCTGTAGCTAGCTTAGTAGTTTTCTGATATCCTTTCATACAAGGCCTATAGGTGTCAATGGCATTCCCAGATGCCTCTGAGTGGATTCCCACCGCATTCAGACCCATTGTCTTGCCTGTGCCGTTACATTATTGTGTATAAAAAGAGCTAGTGTATAAACTAAAAGCACTTAGTTAACTCTAAGGCCTATATTAAGCATATCCTGCTACTTATTATAGCCTTTTAAGATGTGTACACTGTGTACACAGGCAAGCAGCTAACTTTAATAGAGGATAACACATTTATCTATACATTAAAGGCTACAAAGGAGGCTAAGAAGGCCCTAGGTATTCTAAAGATCTAGTAGCTAGTAAACTTACCTAACTTTAACGCTATTAAGAATGTCTAGCAGATCTTAAAATATTGCCTAGAGAAGTGCTTTCTAAAGACTAATAGTAAGGTAAGGCAGTATCTTTTTAAAAAGGAAAAGAAATTGTCTTTAGTAACTATAGCAAGTACATTAAGTTAATAAGGGAGCACTGTTAGGCAGTTATTAAGGCTAAAGGTAGACATACAAAGTAGTAAGACAGTAGTAGGACAAAATAACAGTATAATGCTTATTTGTATATATTTTATATAGAAAACAGCATTTTAAGAGCATTTAAGAATCGCTGGCCTGTGCGCGCGGGTGCAGCCCGCTCATGGAGGGGGGTTGTAAAAGTATTCGCATATGAAGTTCTCAAAAGGGCCGGGCGTAACAGAATTGCGAGATTCTCGCAGACCTCCCTCGTCCGACTCCTCGGGTGATGCGCAGCCGGATCCTCCAGTCAAAGCTGGTGGCATGTTGCATTGTTATTAACCGTCGAAGTATTACTCGCTCGCGAACGTGGTTCTGCGTGAACTTGTTGAATGAACTTATTCTACGTCAACTCGAGGGGAAGGGAGAGCCCTGGAGAAGATCACGTACCACGGGAAACTGGGGTGAAACTGCTCCCTACCCTAGATCTCCATTTCTTCAGCCCTCTGGCCAGGAATCCGATCTGACCGCCTGGTTGGTTTTCTACCGACTAAACCCGCCGGGCCAATGTCCTGTATACGAGTTTATGCTGGACCTAAGCCCCGGGCCTCGCCTCCTTATGCGGAATGCGTTGTTGCGTAGAAACTTAGGTTAAAATCATAAACGCGCCTGATCTGCAACACGACGATTAAAGTTTGTCGCTACATCGAGGCGGTTCGTACCGACATTTAGTCCCAGCTCTCCTAACCCAAACACGACTAGCCACTTCGGATTCTGTTTGACCGTATATCATTCCTCCCTCGCTCCCACAGCGAGCGGGGTCCTAAAGATCCATTAAAAACACATAACTTGTTTCTCTCATTTGTATTCAGACTCGGATCGTCTTCTAGCCAGCATGTACTCCGAGACGAGATCACATCGTATAATGGCATCACTCTGGGTGATGTCGGGCGTTGCATGCTTCTTCATGAGCTTGCGGTTCTATTGCAAAGGCCGGTTTGGAAAACGCTTCGGCTGGGACGACTTGATTCTCGCTATCTCTTGGGTTAGTTCGCTCTTGCAAACGGAAACCTCCTTGCTGACAGCGAATAGGTGCTCACCGCTCTGTACGCGGTCTTCCTCTCCATCTCTGCCAAGTATGGCGTTGGCTCCCACTTTCTTGAAATTCCCAAGGAAAATATATACTGGCTGCTGTTCTGGCTCGACCATGGTTTGACGTGCACCATTCTCTCCGTCTCACTCAGCAAGACGTCCTTTGCCGTTACGCTCCTTCGATTCGCCCCTCGACCGTGGCAGAGATATATGATCTGGTTCGTCATTGGCAGCTTGAATGTAATCATGACGCTCGTTGTGGTTCTTCAATACGCGCAGTGTAACCCGGTTCAGAAAAGATGGAACGCTCTACTTCCCGGTACATGCTATGATCACCACATTATCATTTACTATTCTATGTTTGCTGGATGTATGTACCCTTACATTCTCTTAACGCTCAACGGCATCACTGATCATTTGGCGTGATTAGCCTACTCAGCTTTGTGGGACTTCGTTCTTGCCACTCTACCTTGGTTCATTATCTGGAAACTTCAAATGAACAAGAAGGAAAAAGTCGGGGTAGCACTCGCAATGAGCCTCGGTATACTGTATGCATGTATGTCTCTTTTTCGCAAGAGTGTACTGAAATTTTGGTTTTAGCGCAGGTATCACAGCCGCATTAAAGACGTCCTATCTTCCGGGAATGGGCCACTGGCAAGACTTCACGTGTACGTAATATATCTACGATTTTTGTGTCTAGTTGGGACAACGGTAACCTTCCAATAGGGGAATCGTCAAATCTTCTGATCTGGAGCGGCGCTGAGGCAACTATGACTATAGTCGGTGCCTCCATTCCTTTCTTGCGGGTCCTCGTCAAAGAAGTCTCGTCCACACACGGTAACAGCTACAACCTCAAGAACGTGAGCAGCGGCAAGGGCACTGGGAACATGACCAGGACTGGTCGTCCGAGAGATATTCAAACGTACAAGCGACATCATGATGATCAGAGTGATAGAAGTATTCTGGGGGAAGAGCAGAGCAAGGATGGCGTCATAATTCGGTCGAATGAGGTCACGGTTGCTTATCATGAGCGAGGTGATGAGGAGAGCCAAAGGGCTACGATAAGAACGTCTGTCCTTTGATTCGACGTGAAAGGATTTGCCAACAGCACTAGAGCGGCTTTGGGAACACTGCGTGATGACGAGGGCTCGGGTTTAGCACTTAGCTTCCGATGAAAGGTCGTGTGAATTTTGGAAAAATATATTGTGTCGATCTCCAGAGGTTTGAATAGACAAACCCCACAAATGGAGAGAAGTTTGCCTTGGTCAGAACGGGTTTTAAACACGACCGGTGTCTCAGCATCAAAGGGGGTTTCTTCCAATCAGAAGAGCTGCGAGCCTTCGGGCAGTGCAAGAGAGAACCCTATAGACACAGCCCATGAGATCAACTTTGCGTCGCAATAATGTAAGGGATCTCATCCTCCTCTAAACTCTCCCACACACTCTTTTCTTTTGGCTCCCAACCCAGCTCCCGCAGCCTAACTCCTCGACTTCTGGCATTTCCACCAGCGACTTTTTCGGTCATCGGCCCAAAGACGTCTCCGTAATCGGCTGGATCAAAAGATCGTGTCTCAGGACTCGGAATCTTCCGCAGCTTGTACAAAATGCGGCCCACTTGCTCCGCCGCGTCTCCCCACGAGAAGTCCATTCCGTCGTCGGCGAAGAAGTAAGGGTTCTTCAGGAAGGCAGATGGATCAATTGAATCCAAACTGTCAATAAGGGTTGTGTAAGCGCGTGCCAAGTCTGCGACATGGACAGCACTCCAAACGTTAAGACCCTCCTGGACACGCCCAGCATAGCCATGCTTGAGTGCAAATCGTACTAGCTTTGGTAAAGCCATGGACAGTCGCTGGTGCGCAGGATTAAATCCATAGATCACTGGTGGGATGAGAATGACTACTCTAGCCTTGCCACCGAGTTCGCGCGCTGCCTGGACGGTTGCAAGGTCGACATTCCGGTGCAGGGCTGTGGGAGGTAGGGCGTCGATATCTGTCGGGTCATCGTCGCGATAGATCTTCTCACTCTTGTATCGTCCCTTCGCATCGTCCACTAGTAATCCGGTGCCGCTAGTGTGGATGAGGGTTACTGGAAGGCTTTGAAGCACGCGCTGTCGCACGCCGGCTAGTATAGCTTTGGCGCTAGGTAGGTCGTCACTTGAGGAAGTATTGATAATGACTTCGTGCTGCGTTGTTTGGGCCGTTATCAGGTCGACGTCTTCGAGAGTACCGAGGATCGGTTTGGCGCCTGCTTTTTCCAAAGTAGCCGCCAGCTTTGCGTTTCGCACAAGTGTTGTAACAGAGAAGCCGGCGGCGAGAAGGAGGTCGATGACATGTCGTCCCACCAACCCTGCTCCGAGGATCAAGATTGATTTGGGGGTTGCCATTAGTAGGAATAAAAGACTGCGCTTGTTTCTTAGGGAAGACAGAAGGCAGAGTTGTGTCCCATACAAGCAGTGATAGAAAATAAACCTGAGAGGCTTCGGGAAGGTTCAAACCAAGTTATTACGCCAATCGATTGAAGATGGTGTGGATATTTGGTCGGCCATCCAAGTGTTAAGTATACGGCTTCAAATGGGTTATAAACAGATGCTTACAAATGCGGACGAGATTTTGATCGTGGACACTCCACCATGAGAGTAGCAAAAATGGAAGTAAGCAGCTCTCGGGTGCTTGTTCCGAAAGGATTGCTTACGAACTTTGTGTTGAGAATATTGGAATATGCGCGGAATAGTCGCGTTCGCTAAAACGCGAAGATGACTGGCTTATCAATCTATGATGGAAATCTTTGGGAGAGTGCGGAATAGATGTTAGCTCCATATTCTGGGAGAATGGTGGACGAATGTCGTGTTATGTACGAGGAGAACGACGGACGAAAATCGGACCTGGCGACTGGACGAGTACGCGCGTTCATCGAGAGCAGGGTAATCGTCTGAGACGGTTATACAGTTAGCATATAGTCTTCAAGCTACATCACCGTACCCAAAGCCATGAGAAGAGACCATACTTGAGCACTCGATTCCGGTCCGCGGGACCCACCTCTACCCTCACAGTTTTCCCACTAGTTTCGCCTGGGCTATACAACCCAGTTGCAATTTACTCAGAGCCGCCATGATCTTCATAACAGATAATTCAGCCCCAATTCTCTGTCTGGTCCAGTTTCGTCACTCAATGGTAATGAGCGAGTCCATCCCAATTGAGGTTACCGAAGCTTCAAGACCAGATTCCTCATCTGTGTGCATAAAAGCGGGGAGTGTCTTGCCCATAGATTTTACCAAGAACTCGGCCGATTCGGGGGGTTCAAAGCGGACACGTTCGAACTTGCATTCCGAAGAAACCTCTTCAGGTCGTCTCCCCAATTCGTGGAAGTTGTAAATGAGTCTTGATTCGTCGCTTCCGAGTTACGATATGCTAGGAATCGGAGATCTTTTTTCTAGAATGTGCGATTGTTTGTTGCTGATAGTGGAAGCGTAGAGCGAATCCGCAGCCCGATTTGGCTATGGTTTGGCAAATCTCTTTGGACTGTCCTCGCAAAATGCCAGCCGCGAGGGGAGTAGCATCGAGTGTATCGCGTCCAACAACTGCTTTTCCTGGATGGCGCGGACGGCAGCGGCCCCGTATATCACAAACTTTTCCGGAAGGTCCAATAGCCATCCCACATCTTCCACGAGGCCGATTTTCACGGCCGAGCAATGTAGACCGAGAAAATGCTGATACCGCACAAATGAATCCAAGAAAGTATTTCCGGCCGCGTAATTTGACTGGCCACGTTGGCCGCCCATTGCGCTGATTGAACCGAAGATGAAAAAGAGGTCTAATGGTTCTTTCTGCTTCAGGGCCGCGTGATGGAGATTTTATGTGCCTTGAACTTTGGATATCACGGCCTTTTGCCAAAGTGAGAACATCATGGCTTTTAGTAGAACGTCCTACAAGCTCAGTCAGCATATACCGGATGAATCCGGGCCGTCAAACCTACTCCGAGCGCCATTGATGCTTGCAAAATGCCAGCAACAGGCATGCTAATAACCCCAAACGCCCTTTCGATACCGGCCCGAAACTGTTTGCACAGCGCATCCCAAGGATTCTAGCTCGCGAATGTATGGGCCGTGTTGTAGGATTTCGCCTGCGGATCTCGAGAAGAACACGATCTTTCTGGCACGCTTCTAGTTAGGAAGGATATCAGATATATTGCTATACCTAGGACTGTGTCCTGTGTTGAAGAATAACCACGACCTTCCACCAGAGGTGGGGAGTCGAGACTATATACCTAGTAGTGATCGCAAGTGCTGCACAATGGTCGCAGGCCAAGCCTGCGACTGCTTTGCGATCGTGTTGCCAAGTCTTGCGACTGTTTTGCCAAGTCCTGCGATCGCACTATACCTGTTTCGGATGATCACGTGATGTGCGCTCTGCGGGCCGTGCCCTCACCAGCAGTGCCGGCGATAGATCGATCCGATTCGTGGATTGATCCGAATCCACGCTATTCTAAATCTAGATTAGATTCTTAAATTAATTTAACTATAGTCTTAGCTAAAAATTTACTTCTCTATTAATAAAATAACTTTAAAAGTTTTAGATAATAAAATTTTATAAATTAAGCTTAACTCTAGTGCCTAAAAATAAGAGTAGTAACTTTAGAAACCTTATACAACGACTAATTATAAGGCTGGATGTCCTAGAACAGGCTAGTATGGCCTCCCCTAACCTGTTTGGAGGTCACATGACCTGTGCTTCGTATATAAGCATGAATCCTAACAAGCGAGGCTTGGCAGCGATTCGTCTCTCTTACAATACACTCCTATCTTTCTCTGAAAGCTTGCTCTCAGTGCTATCTGTGCTACTTACTATCCTATCTTTACACTAATGTCTAATAAACTTACTAAACAAAATAGCTGTCTTCTCTAATACTATAATTTTTATAATTATAACTATACTTTAAAAGTTATTATAAACTTTTAAAAGCACTTAAAATTTAACTACTAAGTTTTAGTAAAAAGTACTTTTTCTTTTATATAATAAGCAGGTGCTATTAAATTCTAAGTCTAAAGATAGGATAGTAGGTAGCATAGATAGCACTAAGAGCAAGGTTTCGGAGAAAGATAGAAGTGTATTGTAAGAGAGACGAATCGCTGCCAAACCTTGCTTGTTAGGATTCATGCTTATATACAAAGTACAGGTCATGTGACCCCTAAACAGGTTAAGTAAGGCTATACTAGCCTGTTCTAGAGCATCTAGCCTTATACTAAGAGCTATAAAACTGCGTAGAACCTTATATAAAAGAAGATATATAAAATACTATGTTTAGAGCTTATCTAGATAAAAATATTATTTAAAAGACTTTTATATAACTAATTATTTAATAGTATTTTACTTTTTTAGTTATTAAATTATTATCTTTTTAAGCTTTTATATAAGCATTAAATTTTATTACTAGAGAGGCTATTCTAGTTTTACACTTTACTATTTATATAGTAATTTAAAGCTATGAGTATAAAAAAAGCTTATTCTTTAACGTACTTCACAGGCGAGTTGCTTACACACCTAAGTTGCTTACTTTTGCTAAGTGTCACGATTGTGCACAAGTAAGGTTATAGAGCTTCACAGAGGTCTAGTTTAATTACTATGTAAGGTATTATAGTAGGTACAAGACGTTGTGTAAGGAATAGAAAAGTTTAAAAAAAAATTAGTAATTAAATACTTAGCTTAAAAGTCTAAGCACTTTAAGTATAAATTAAGCTTATTTTTATTTTAGTTAGTGTTAAAGCAGTTTATACTTAAGTTTATGTCTATATTATGTTGTATTTATGTTAGATGTGCACTAATAATACTCTAGTACATGTCTAATACAGTTATGTCTAGGATCTAGAGAGGATACTGTAATAGTACTCTCCCCTTATTAAAAAGAGAATCTTTTACATTAGTAGTTCTAGCATTAAGTTGTCTTTATTAGAGTATAAGTTTAGTTTAGATAAGTATTAAGCATAAAATTAAGTTACTATAAAGTTCTTTTATAAAGCTTCTATAGGTTTTTATAATAGTTTATTATATCTAGTCTATTTTATAAAGTATTTATAGATATGTTTTTTTTTATTAAACTAGATTTATTTAACATTTTTTATAACATATTCTAGTTTATTATTTATAATAATAAGTTTAGGTAGTAAGTTTAGCTATCTAAGTAAATAGTTAAATTTAGAGGCTACTTAGCGCAGTAATAATACATAGAACATAGGGTGTATCTTTATGCTATTAGGTAGGATTAATTAGTAAGTGTGTAATAAGACTATATAAGCTACTATAAAAGGGCTAAAGTTTTTCTAATTAAGTTTTTTTAATTATTAGTTTATTTAAATATTTTTAGTGTCTAGCTAGACTTTCTTACTAGCTGCATATATAAAAGTAGAAGTTTAGAATTAGTTTATGTACTCTTATTAAAAAGCTTAAGCCTATGTAAGCTTTTTATAAACATATTTAAATATATTTTAAATTTTATTAATAAGTCTATTTACATCTATTACTTATATAAATTAATAAGTTAGTTAGAGAGTATTTAAAAGTAGTTTAAATCTTATTTAAAAGTAGTATTTATAGTTTACTAAAAATAAGAATACTTATATTAATTTAAATATTATGTTATTAGCTTTAAACTATGCTGTAGCTAACTATTTTACTTAGTTATTCTACTAGTAGTTTATATACACTTATAAGACTTATTTTATTATAGTGTTTATATTCTTAGTCTAGCTATTAGTCTCTAGGTAAAAAGCTATAGATAGATAAAAGATAATTTAGAGCTATTTATAAAGTTTATTCTAGAAGGCTAAAACAAACTGCGTACCTCTGTCTAATATAATTATATTAGGCAGGCTGTAGTAAACTTATATGTATTAGTAGAATAACTAGGCTATATTAAGGGTAGTTATAAAAAAACATAGTATTAAGTATTAATACTTAGTTAAGTAATTAATAACTACTATAATATTTATATACTTTTTAAATAAAGGTAAGTTTATAATAAAATTAATTAATATATTTTTTTAAGCTTATTTAAGGATTAGAAGTAGTTTAAGTAGGCTATTATACTTTTCTTAAAAGGCTTTTACTTTATAGTAAGTATAGCAACATAATACATATTAGCGTACAGTATAGAACATGCAGGGCTAGTAGTACTCTCTCTGTAGTAGGTTAAGAGTCTTTTCTCTG